ATAAACTTCTAGTACCTAAAATTCAAAAGATTGTCGACTTCCAAATGCGGGCGATTTAAAATCTTGAATGCGGGCGATTAAAAATGTGAAATATTTTCACATGTGAAATTTCGCATTTAATTTCATGTGAAATCCTTTCGCATATGAGATCTTACATGTGACTTTATGCGAAATCCTTTCACATGTCACTTTATGTAAAATCCTTTTACATGTGAAATGGCACATGTGACTTTATGTGAAAGCCTGTCACATGTGATTTCATGTGAATTCTGAATTTCACATAATATCACATTATTTTCGTAAGGGTTACAATCCCAAGCTTGATGATATTTTCATGGAGGACCAAAACAAAGGCTTTATAACAAAAAAGTCCCACCAAAATACATGAACAAATGGTTTTTATGCAGTGAACATTTAAAAAAAAAAAGATTTTGGAACTATGGTTGGTGATAAATGTTTACAGCATTGCGTGTTTTTTTTTGATAATATATTTGTGCATGATTTAAGTTTGTTCTTAAGATGATATTAAACAGAGATAAAACCATACCTCTGCATGTTGTGGACGACATATTCTGTGCCAAAATTGAAAATTCATTAAAATCTTGCAATAAGTAAACATGATCATCAACAGGAGGTGAAGCCATTATTCTCAACTCGTTTACATCGATTCCTGAGCCAACTCCAATCGAATATATGACAACGTCTTCTTTTTTTAGCTCCTGGGATGGTTGTGCAACATTTCCACTGCTTTGCCCATCAGTCAACACTATCAAAACCCTTTTTGTTCCTAAAAAGATTAATTTGCATTTATTTACGTTCCTTATTAACGATATCAATAAAATATACGGCATATTGCCGGGTATAAAAATATCTTAGGACATGTTACACGGTGCAATTTTTCTTGCAACTTGCAATGCTATTCTTTATTTGAGAGATGCAAATTTGACAACTATCGAACTTACGTCTTTATTACAACCATTACTTTTACACTTACATTTTGAAGTCTCTTTACTAATTTACATCTCCGAAAAGTAGAATTGCATTGCAAGTTGCAAGAAAAATTGCACCGTGTAATATGGCCTTTAAATTTCACCAATTTCATCAAAATTCACCAATAGTCTCCACTATGGGTAACTGAAAGCAGCATGTGTTATTTAAAGATATCACGCTATAAATTTAACGCTGCAAAATATTTATTTCGAATTCATTTAAATTCCTTATTTCCACTTCCTTTCTCAAAATTCGAAAGAGGCAGGCGAATATTTCGCATTTTGCTGAAAAATTTTGACGGAATCAGCACTTGATGGTTTCACGTGTAATCCATTAATCTTCAGGTTTCGAGCATAGTTCCTCCAAAGCCAGTAACGGCAAGTTAATGTGGAAAAAAACCAGAAAATGATAGAAATGCATGCATGATAAACAAAATATGGGAAAATAAAAGAATAACTCGTATAATTAACAAACCTAATAAGCGGGCACCATTGTTGGTATTGAACATGTGTGATTTCGCAAGTCTCAAGCCTTCGGCAGTATTAGTGCCTCCACCCGTGTACGGAATGTTGTCTATAGCAGAATAGAGATCTTGCCGTATTGGAAATGCTTGAGAAAATGTAAGATGCAATGACGCCGAGGAGGCATATGATATCACGGAGACCCTTGTTTTGTTTTGTGATACTTTGAAGTGATAGATAAGGTCCTTTACAAACGATTTCATTGTCTCAAAATGTGCTGACCCAATACTGCCAGAACTGTCTAACATAAACCCAAGATCACTCTTCGTCGTACATCTTGGAATTAATTTGCCTACGAAAAAAAATGCAACAACATTTTAATAAATCTGTCCAACATTTGTACAAGTACTAGTTAAAATACGAGCGACTAATCTGTATGGATATTTGAAATGGCGAGTGCGTTGCACGTAAATAGGTGGTGTGCTACTATTCCCGAGAGACTTATAGGACAAAGCGATTTTCGCCATATTGGATGACATTTGAATTGCAAAACAAGACGCCAATTCTGGCGGTAACTGCGGTCGCGCCAATCGTTGCATGCAACTGTGCCCCATTTCCTGTCAATATTTATTCATTTAGAAAAATGTTTCTTTCTTAGGGTTTCTAGTAAATAGAGCACTTCGTACAGAATATACGGGTAAAACTGCATTATTGGTGCTAGGCAGATGTAGCTAACGATATACGTGAATAAGGCTGGTTTGAATAAGTTTGGAATCATGTACTCTAGGAATCTGTTTGTACTGAAATTAAATAGGATCGGTCTAGCCGTTTTTACCCTTGAAAGGAAGGTGCGGTTTGATTGAAAAATGGCATAGAATGAGATACAAGGCTTTCATTGCATACAAGGCTTTCATGGCATACAAGGCTTTCATGATTCATGTGATCGTTGTCTGTAAACCCGTTTTAGTGCAGGTTTACCATGATCAGTGTGTGCTAGTGTATGCAGAGTGAGCATATATACAAGACAAGACGAGAAACCAGCCAGGGGCGGATCTAGACTATATCAACTGTATCAAATAATACAGTCAGATTTTGCCGAAAATAATATCTTTTGACTGTAAGAATTCCTACATTATTTATAAATGCTTTTATTTCATCATTTTACATCATTTGGAAATCGTTTTTTCGCTTCACAAGCTGACAAGCGGTTACGGAACAATTTTTGGCATTTCGCATTCGCCAGCCTACGGTTCACTTCTACCTGCTAACAAGCCCGCTTCTTGGGAGTTTGCTTCTTCGTTCAACTCAATAACATAACTCAGAAAGACATCGTCGTAGCAGTTGAGATAAAAATAGAACATTTTTGATACAGTCAGCGGGAGGGTATAAGCTATATTTAGACCGTTCGACTGTATCAAACCAATCAGAATCGCGATCACTGATACAGTTTGATACAGTCAGATGCTGAGTCAGCTACATTGCTCTATTTGAACGATGTCCAACATTCCACGCAAAAGGCGCAAGTCTCATTACAAGCAAACTAAGTCTATACGCAGTTTATCTGGCTATCATGGCATCACGCGCACTGTTAGACAAGTTGAACTGTGCGCTCAATAAGCGAAATTCTTTGGCTGAGAAGGTCGAAGAGCTAACGAATATCAAAATTCATGCGAAATTATTTTTCTGCTGCTCAAAGAGGGGAATAAATTGCGAGATGTACACATGTCAATTTGCGGAGCTACAGTTACCCAAAAGCCAGCGATTGCGCTCTCATAACCATTATCCCGTCAGGTAACTACAAAGCTTTGTGAATATATTAATATCTTATTCGTTGTGATGATTTTGTGAAGTTAATTTGCATCATGAGTGGAAAATCTGGTTAAATTAATATTCATGTTTGATATGTATACAATAATAGCATCGCGTTAGGATCAATGCACGTGTTTATATTAAAGCCGCTATTATTAATATTTTCTTAAGGCTGGTCTGCTAATAGAAATAGTACTAAAGTCGTTACTGTCGTTAGAAATTTGCCCGAATCATTTCCTAAGCTTTGTCCATCTAGTTTTAATAGCTATGATTGAGTTTATGAATAGGAGTTTGCTCTAAATTTTGACTGTGAAATATGAAATGCTCACGATGGGAAATATGATACCACTATGCCCAATGAATAACCTTAACATTTTATAAGTCTAGTCAATGACTGCTGGGAGTAGAACTACCTTTAATTTACTGCAACTTCCAAATTTATCAATTTGATAAGTACGCGTTTTAAAGCCGGGAAAAATCTTCTTTGCTAAGAACAGCCGAACATTTTGGTAAAAAATATATCAGGAAAAGTACGCTCAAATCGCGGGAAATGGCATCCCCGGGCTTCCAGTTTCAAAAATTTTCCGGGGGGCATGCCCCCGGACCCCCCTAGTTATGCGAGACCTAGTCCGTTATACAGTCAGATTTTCGGCCAGATCAACCGCTGCCAGCATTATGATTACCTGTACGTATTTTCTCGAACGACTGACGTCTAGATTTCCTGCGCTATCGGCCATGCACAGCGACTGGTGTACGTGTTATTTTATATGACGTGTATCGTGCATGCAGTTTCCTGCTTTTGGTTCGCACGACCCGAGTTCGAATCCCGGCGACAACAAACTTTTTCAATTTTTGTTTCAGTAAAATATTTCTTTTGTGGGGGTTACTAGGCTTAGATTAGTATTTAAAGTGTGTTTAGCACAAAAATATTTCGATAGGAAATCAGACGAGTTCAAAATACGAGTATCTTAGTTAGCTTGCGCGGCCAGGAAGACCGGGTCGAAAACGTAAAAAACACGAAAAAAACCAAAAAAAACACCGACGGCAATTTTAGACTGCGTTCGCTCAGTGCGCGACTCAGTAAAAAGGAAAATCCTTTGTTAAAATCATCCAACATGGCGGCGATGACGCTATATGAGAACCACCTATAAATCATATAGAGCTCTGTCGCGAGTATTTTAAAGTGCTTGGGAAAGTCATTATCAAAGGAAACTACTTTGCGTACAGTGGCGTAGCCAGCCTAACAATTTAGTCATGCTATGATAATATTTTGGTGTTCATTGACTGTGAAAACAATAAATTTCTAAAGAAATGTATAATAAAAGAATATTGTTCTGAATTTCTGCGTAAGAGCTGGCGTATTAATTGGGAGCGGTCCCATTGGTGAACAACATTCATTTATAAAATTTTACTCGGGGGTTTATTAAGGATTTAGCCCCCCCCCCCCCTGATAAGCTCCATCGGCCTTGAGCTATAGTAACCCATGTAACTGGATTTTCCTTTGGAGCAATCCATAGATTTTCCATTATATAGGGTGGATAACAAAAGGCAACGACTTAATTTTCAAGAGTATTAACTTTGTGAGCTGCATGCACAATTAGAAGTACCATTGTACTATATTGTGCTTAAATAACAATATGAATATTGAGTGTTGCCTTTTTTATTCAAGCTGTATATTGTCGTTTTTTCAGAGCATGGTATTTAGAAATATATGAGGTGTAAGACATCTTTGATACATACATGTTCGCCCATCTCCGGTATAATCTTCGTTACAAATACAAGTAAATGAACCATCCGTGTTTATACATGATGCTCGGATTGAATGATCACAGTTGTTACTCCCAATCTCGCATTCATTTATATCTGTAGTCATAAAACACAAAAACTTTCAAGACTAGATACATACGAAGTACACACTCCATCGCCTCTTCTACGAGCGGGTATCAATATTATTGCATAGGATACGCTGCAACAGTGATAATATTGGTGACTTCATTCACATCCCTCAAATAGAATAGGCGAATATACTATAGAAGATTACCTTCGCAATGACTGCCATTTCTAGCATACCCTACACTACAAGTACAGGTGAAACTTCCAAGAGTGTTTTCGCATACAAATTTCTCGGGACAGACATTTCGAAGCAGGCATTCATCTGTGTCTGTATTCAAAAAATAAAAAGTCTTTTTATTAGAGTTTATTGAATTTAGCCGAAAAATACATATGGTAACTACATGAAAAACTTACTTTAAAAAAGCAGTTTTTGGGTCAGTTTGCCCCTGAACTACTTTCATGTAGACATTTGTGATTTACGGTGGAGACCTAATTTAAATTATGCTTGTGCGTGTATTGCAAAAAAAACTTAAAGTTTTAAAGACTCGATCTAATGAGTAGATTCAATCTGTATGAATTGATAAAAAGTGTTAAAGGATGCAAAGACATAAAACTTACCATATGCTACAACTAAATCGTGAATTTGAACATTATTGGTGATATTCCCAAGCTTCTCAAGCGATGTTTTCAAATACATGTCAATCCGGTTGTTGTTGATGTCAAAAACAAACAAATTAAAGAAGTCAGAAGTCACTTCAATTTTGCCTGGATACGATATATTCAAAGAAACTGTTTCTTTATTTGGCAGTGTTTTCATGACGCTGTGATAGCTTCCATCGAAATTCGCCCAGTAAATAACATTATTGTATTCGTCAAAAAAAATTGACTGTGCAGAACCGCCGGCAAAATGGATCTCCGACTTTGATTGATCCGATGGATTGTAGCGCACGATTTGTGGATCATTTGCACTTGCTATGTAGAGGTAACTGTAAAAAAGAAAAATTATAAGCGAAAAAACTTAATGTCAAACAAACAACTACAGTATGTGATGTTGAAAATCATCCATCATGCATGGCGAGAACGTATTGAAAAGCATCTATACGTGAAAAAGAAGAAATTTAATAGTGCAAAAGTTTAGTAGTACAACTACAAACCTCTACAAAAAAGGACAGCATTTAGAATTAAACTTGTATTCGTGCAAAAGTAATAATTGACAATGAATCGTATTATACCCATTAGTTGTGTCCATTTCAAGATCTGTGACGTTGGATAGATAGGATAAAGCATCGATTTTAATATCTTGTCCACCTGTCATATTGTGTGTTCTTAATTTATGTTCAATTGAGTGATAATAAATTATCGAATTTGTTCTCCCATCCACCGTGAATAAATCCACATCATTGATTGATGTTGTAGTAGCATCTGAGCCATCCAATTTGTAACTTGTAAAACCTTGTAACTTCACGTACAGGTACAACCGTTTGTTTATTGCATCAAAAGACAGTAAAGCATTCACTCTATCGTCAACTTTGGTTGGGATACTTGTGGATATTTTCGTATTATAGGACAGCGTGCCAAGTGATGTTGAGAAGAATAAATACGGTATTTGGTGACGAACTAGAAAGTAATAACAAGCAATTCATGAGGGCAATTGACGAACATGCAAATCACCAAATTAATTTAAACTTTATTTTGTCGCTCGTAAAACACACATCTACTGTAATTCGTAAAACACACATCTACTATAATTTCAAATTTCTTCTACTTGAAAGCGGCCAAAATATTCGAGGTTTACTAAAACGACTAAGGGCTAAAATTATAATGATGCATGCAAGTTTTGTTAAATCATAAATTCTTATTACTAGTCCTATTCAAGTGCGACAGCTATAGAGCATTAGTCACAGTTACCTTCACTTTCGCATCTTTCACCGCGATATTCAGCAGGACATCTGCATTGAAATGATGAAGGACCAAGATTGATGCAAGTTCCTCTATTGTAACATGGAGCACTTGCACAAGGGGTATCTATGAAAAATGGACATATTAAAGTGTGCAAATTTAATTTCTTATTTTACTTTAAAAATGGGCACTTTTTTCGTCACATTTAAACGCTATAAAAGCTAAGTTTGATATGATTTTGTTATTTTGAATTTCACAAAATGAAAACATATTCTTCTTTTTGGCTTCGAAGGTTTTTCACAAGCTTAGTGGAGCTATATGATTTTGATAAAGGAAAACCCCCTTTTCTCAACTTAGAACCAAGTAATTATATAATTATGTTATTTTCTCTCTTTGTGCATGCATGCATACTGACATGGGATTTTGCTATAAAATTATAAGTATAACCAAATTTTACAATAACCATTATACTTACGGCAAATTGCAGATTCATTTGTTCCCTTCCATGGTATATTAACATGGGGTGAGCAATCATCAGCGTAAGCTTCAAGAGCCTGACAATAACAAACAACAGGATCATCTTCACAAGCACACATATCATATTCACAGTCTTCAATATACCCTTCACTGGTCGCATCGATGTAACTGGAACAAATACTGAAGGGCGGGTTAAGTAATGTTGAACACTTTTCACGGGCCACCAATCTTCTCGCTGGTTTGACATCACATGGGTGTAGCACTTCAACAGCATTTGCGCATTGTGGATCAACTTTCCAAGAATTTCCGAAGGCTACTGGGTCAGTTAAAACTGTTCTATTAGATGTCCAGAATTCATCATCGCGTCTTTTATTATAGGTACCGCATAAACCAGATGTTCTGTTTAAATAACGACCACGAACGGTCACTCGCACATTGTAGACATTGTTCCAAAATACTGTGACACCATAATCACTTGTTACCAATGTTTGACCACTTGCAGGTTTAGTAATGTTAACACCTTGAAAATATGATCAAATAAAGTGTAATAGTCGGTGAAGAACATGCATCGATGACATTAGGTATTATTATATTTTTGCTTATAATTATGCCGTCAGTTTATCAAATACATATTTACATTAAGTCATACTTGATTTACTCAAAGTATTTTTTCCAGATATAAAAGGAGAAACGGTTATCATTTAATAAATCTGCAAATAATTTCAAGATACCTGGATAGAAGACTGGCAATGTGACTTTCGCTCCATTGACCAATGTCATTCCTCTTCGGAGATGAATGGAGGTTGAATTGGTGAATATCACTGTCAATGATTTCGTACACGTCGGAAGTCCATTTCCACAAGGTTCATTTGCTTGCCTTATTTCAAATGTGTTGTTTACAAAGTCTTTTGCCAGAACATATTCACATTTTCCCATGAAGTCAAAACGTTTTCCATCAAATGTCGTGTAATGTGGATCTCCCTGGGCTTTACATGTCGCTTCAACTACAAATTTCATTTATTGCTGCCTTTAAAAGCAGTATAGGGCAGTAAAAGTTCATGTACGCACGGTACAGGGAAATTCAAGTGAAATAATTAAGGCTAGAGCATTGTCCTTTGTCTCATTGTCTAAATGTTAAGAGACAAAAAACAACCTTGAAGCAGCCTGACGACTTGAACCTTGTTGTTCACATGAGCTCGAAATAACTTAATTTCCGATGCGAGGCTACTCGTTGTCCCAGGACAAAATTCCATGCGTTTCCATCGACTCTGGGACACGTTCTCTGACTTGTCCCAGAGTACTACATAGCGGGATACCGGCAAATGTACATGACTATGCCTTGTAAAACGAAATAAATTATATCATTTGCCATTACTATTTTTGGCCATGCACTTCTAGATTGTTTGTCTCTGAACTTAAATCTAGAATTTTATTTCTAACGATCTTTTTGTCCCGAGGTATAGGTTGCAGTGAAACACATGGCGCAAGTATAGTAGGCTATATATTCTTCTCTGTAGCACCGAGAATCTCGAGTTAGCTCCTGATGTTAAGTATTCTTTTTCAGAGAGTAATTATAGCTCCTACCTCTTTTATCACAGTTTTCTCCTTCAAAATCAGCGTTACAAACACATTGATGGGTATCACCAACTGCTACACAAATTTCATTTCTTCCGCAAATGAGTTCATCACAGTTTACTAAACAGAGAAATGGAAAAATAATCGCTGTTCAAATGAAACGAGACGGTTGTTTCAATAACATACAACAGGTATCGATTATGACCCAAGCGTTTGGGAAAATATGCGATATATAGCTGGTGATAAACAAAATAACATATTCATGGATAAAACCACTGTCCGGCCTGTAGAGGGACCAGGGCCGTAACCAGTAGCGTAGCCAGCCTGACGATTTTGTCCTATGTAAATTTCGAGTAATTATATAATTATTCATTCCTTTAGAAATTTGCTGTTTTCACAGCCAATGAACACTAAAATATTAGCATAGCAGGACAAATCGTCAGGCTGGCTACGCTACTGGCCGTAACTACAACTGTAATTGTTGGGATACATGTTTTTCATATATTCAGTTCTGCCCGACTGAAAAAAAAATCCGTCGGGCGGAACTGAATGATTATATTTATTATTCATTAGATAGTGTAATCGTCTGCTGATTGGCTGAAAATGTACGGATAATTTCAGATATCCCTCAGTGCTCGAGCTATATTTCAGCGGACATAGCGTTATCTGTTGGTGCGCATGCTTTTTGCCAGCTTTTATAGTGTTAGGTTGTTATCTGCAGACGTTTGTGGACCGCACCCGCGGTTTCATAGCGGTATCGTGCACAAGCCAGTGAACTCTAATAAGACTGGAACGATAACTCAACAATAAAGACTAGTCATTGGATGAAGCCGATTTGAATATAATTTGCTGATTAAGGCGGGAGCCGCGCGAGCAAATCAAGCCTTCAAAAGAACTGGGGAGAGTGAGAATTCCGTAAAAATCGTATTTTTTGACAAAAAATTGCTAGAAAAGTGCAATTTTTATTTGACCACTTCAACTTTAAAAAACAAATTTTCCCTTTTTGGATAGACCAAAGTAATCTGCATCATCTTACTGTAAAAACCGGCGAGGTACCAGCTTTGTACTGGAAATATTTAAAGAATTTGACCGGGCCGAAAAAAAACTTCGCCTTCAACTCGCAAAAAAAATAGGTTTGCACCTTTTCACGTTCATAAAACTTGTTTTTTAGTAAAATCTAAGTGTCAATGCTTGTTTTAAGCTTTTATTCATGATCAGATGAGATGGATTTGTGTATAAAAACCGGCGTTGTTTTGGTGGTGTAATTTCAACTCTTGGCCTTCATGGCGGCCATCAGTGCTGGCTTCAAAGATGGCGGCCAAGTTATCGTTCCAGTCTTTTTAGAGTTCACTGGCACAAGCGTGGGAAATTCGCGAGCTTCGGTTTTTTTCTATTTACGTAATAAAATTTACTATGGCTGCAAGTACGAGTGCTCGATTCGCATCAGTTTCAAACAGTGGCGTAGCCAGCCAGACGATTTAGTCATGTTATGGAAACTTTATGTTATTATCATAATTCATCTCTTTAGAAATTCATTGTTTTCGCAGTCAATGAACACCAAAATATTAGCATGGCATGACTAAATTGTCGGGCTGGCTACGCCACTGGTTTCAAAACAGGGAATGGAGAAAATACACGCTAATAGAGACTCAGGATACACGAAGAAGTCTACGAAGTACCATTTTGAATGACGAGCAATAAATTGTTTGAATATTTACGTTTTATTATGCTCATGTCCTCTTTTTCTGGGATCCAGTGAATAATAAAACAATTACTAAATTCGGCTTTCGCAGGATATCCAGAGTAATTTAGGCCTCATCCTGCTCAGCTTCATCCAATAAGTTTAGAATTAACACCCCCCCCCCCAACCCCAATAGGCAAATTCCAATACTACATTATAGCCAGTAAAATTAAACACAAAGTCAAAGATCTAAAATTTCCATTCAAGTTTGGCAAAATTATTTTCATACCAAAAAAATACCCAATTCAATTAGGTTCTTGTTTGTATATAATTTTTTTGGCCGGTGGATAAACAATAAAACTGTATTAAAAAGTAATAAAACCGTACCTTTGCAAGTAGTAGACGACATATTCCGTGCCAAAGTCGCGAATTCATTAAAATTCTGTAACAAATAGACATGATTATCCACGGGAGGAGAAGCCATTGTCCTAAGTTCGTCCACATCGATTCCTGAGCCAACTCCAATAGAATATATGACAATACCAGAGTTTTTCAATTCTTGCGATGGTAGTCCGACACTGCCACTGCTCCTCCCATCGGTTAAGACTATCAATACTCTTTTTGTTCCTGAAAAAATTTCGTTTAATATACATGGGCCCATGGCCACAGCAGATTCATAATTACAAGCAGGGAATAAATTTCGATATAATTATCATCATGCATATTTCCCCGGTCCCATTTATTCATTATTTTATTTTGGAAAGGGTTCAATGTGATTGTGATGGACATAATTCAAATGTAGGACATGTCTCACGTTCAAACATCCATTAAACTGGAAGAAATAAGGCTTCTTACCAAAAAGAATCAATAAAGATCAGATTTTTCTTTATGGGTTAAGAAAATCTAATCTTCTCAGAATAAAATCGGCGCGATCAGATACTTTACTCCCCAAATTAGTTTAAAAATAAACTTTTCGAAGTTGGTTTTGAACACATTTGAGTCGAATGCACACCAAACCAATTATTATATAAAATGATTCAATAGAATCCAATTCAACAAACCTAATATGCGGGCACCATTGTTTGTATTGAACATGTCAGATTTCGCAAGTCTCAAGCCTTGGGCAGTATTAGTGCCTCCACCAGTGTAAGGAATGTTGTCTATCGCGGAATGAAGATCTTGTCGTGTCGGAAACTCCCGAGAAAATGTAAAACGTAAAGTCGGTGAGGACGCATATGACATCACGGAGACCCTTGTATTGTTTTGTGAAATCTTAAAATGATCGGTAAGGTCCTTAACAAAAGATTTTACTGTCTCAAAATGTCCAGACCCAATACTACCAGAACTGTCTAACATAAATCCAAGATCACTCTTCGTCGTACATCTTGAAATT